ATTTTGCCCCGTCTTTCGCCCGTCACACCTAAAAAAACTTTCCCTCGCCTCTATTTATTTTCAGAATTATCGGAAAACGCCAGGGGTAAAATGGGTTCATGACCTGTGTTTTGAACCGGAAATTTTCCCGACTATCCACTGGGGTCACTTTCGACCCCCCCCATTCCCCCAAAAGACATTAATTTTTCTTATTCAACTTTCACCGTAAAAAAATCCCCCATTTTCGCTCGCTCTCTCAATCCGGGGAAAAGAATCATCACAAAAAAACAGAGGGAATGAAAAATAGGTGGTGAAGAGGGGGGAGGGAGGGGGAAATTATGGCAGCGAGAGATTTACGACGCGGAGAGTACGTACGGCTTTATCACTTTGAAAATCCACGGGCCATTCTCAATTTCCTACGGACAATTTCACCAACTAAAGAAACCATCGGTTAAACGGGTTGAGGGAGAGGGGAAGGAGAGAAGTCTCTCTCATTGGTTGACATTATTGCTAAACGGGGTAACGCGTTACGTGCGGTGGAATTCTAGAGTAATACAAAACGAGTTTTCGATAATTCGATACGCATTCATACATTTTATGACTTCTCTCGGTTGCTCGATTTTTTTTACGGTTTTTTAAAGCCACGACAATGGAGTCTGCAGCATTGGCGAGGGAATGGTGGACTGTGGTTGATGTTTCATTTTTTATGGAGTTTTTTTTAATGCGGGGTAATTGGAGATGGATAGGATGAATTGAGTGGGTTGAATTTACGAGGCTGAAATTGAGATTTGGAGTTATTTGGGCGGGATTGTTATGTGCTGTGTGCATTCTTAAATTTTTGAGAATGACATAGGGGAGGATGGGGCAAAACGGTCCCCCTTCAATCGTCAATATTTTCCGATTCAATAATCCGATTGGGATGAGTTAGAGCTCGTTTTGAAGAATGAAAAATTATCTTCAAAATGAAGTTGAAACTGGGAATTTTCACAATGTCATTCACAAGTTATTGACAATTGAAAGGGGGCCGTTTTGCCCCACCCTCCCCTACAAACAGGTATAAATCTATTTATAATCCCTGAGAGAATACTCAGATAATTTCACAGCAGGAGCGTGAAAATCATCAAGTTCATTCGCCAAGTAATTTCCCAAAAATTAATAAGCAAAGAAAAACTCAACAATCAAATGAATCATCGCTCGCCAACATCAATATAAAGTCTTGGAAAAATATCTCCCAGAAATATCGTGCAGCATGATCATGCGGTATCACATGATATACATGAAAATTTCGCAATAACAATAATCAACAATTAGCATTATCATGTCACAATACATGTGACTATTTCTCGAAATACCTCGCAACATCAATAATCAATAATTAACATCATCATCTCGTTATTCATGTGAATAATCTATTCAGATGTCAGACGAAATCAAGCGAAATACCATGGAAAACACAAGGAAATATTAAGAACAGGGCGCAACAATTCTATTTTCACATTTCCATGGATGGATCCAAATCATCGTTCCGTTTTTTACAATTATCTCGGAAGCCTGGAGAAATTGAATCATTCGGGTGGCCTCATTGGATGAGCGAGGATATTTCCGATCCCAAAAGAGAATTGAATACCATTCTATGAAACACGAATAAACGAATCATAATTGTCCAAATCATTTAGGCCAGAGGAAAATAGAATAATTGAACTTTCTCAATATTGCGTTTACTACGGTTTTCTTCGAACTAAGTTGATTAGAATTTTTAGCTAGAATTATGAAATGATCTCACATTTTTGACGTTAAGGATAGGAGAATCTGAATGCAATATAGTGAAAATGATGATCGATTTTTTTACTTTGAACAAATAATATTAATATCCAAATACAAAATTTCTGATATGAATAAAAAGAAGCTGTCACTCAATATTCCAAATGAAGCTTTAATTTTTCATTTGGTGCTGATAACATGACATGACAATATTCTAAGCACGGAATTATATTGATGAGATGAACAACAGATTAATTGAATTACCGTGTCAACTAACTAAAAATTGATAACAGTGTGGCCACGCACTTTTATCAGAGTATCAACAAACATCGAATTCCAGAAATTCACACTCTAAAGTGTGTTCTAGAACGAATTGAATTGTAATCCTATTTACTAAAGATGAAAGAAACGTGAAGTTGTTTTATATCGAAATATCCCGAAACTGCCTGACCGCTAATCCTCAATTCGGATTGGTCAATGAGTCACGTGAAGTAGTCGCTGAAAAAAAACCCCGCTATTTTCAAATTCTTCGAATGCCAAAAATTTTTTCTGCGTCATATTTTTCATTTTTTCATGTGTGAAGTTGATCTTTATATCAAAACATGTCTAAATTGCCTAATTGTTAATCATGAGAAAATAAACATAGTATTTCTCAATTTTTTTAACGCACAAATTATTCTTCACTTCCCAAATTTTAAATTTTTCATATTTATCACACGCCAAAATGATCAATTCTTGCTTTTCAGATTTTCATACATAAATTCTAAACTCTAGAAAATTCACGAAAATTCTTCGGTTTCCCAAATAATTCGAGAAAAATCTGTGATCTACGGTTATCTGGAAAACTGTGAAATTTTCTGAAGAATTCAAGAAATTTTTTCAGTTCTCTGGGAAATCAATTCATAACCCTCCCCTGATTTTTCAACAATTACAGATTTTAATTTGATTATTTTAAAAAGTAAAAAAAAAGAATTAATCGAAGATTAAAAATTATTCATTGATGCTTCACTCTTCATTCTCTTCATTCTCTTAATTCTCTTTAAGTCATTATCAATATTGATAAAACATCTATGAGTATATGAAGTTGAATAAATTCGATTTCTTCATTTTCACAGCAAAAAGATGAGCGCGCGCTTTCGCGCGCGCACAGATCTAGTTGTGACTAAATCTCATTCAGTGAGCGTAGGAATTAGAACATGAGCAAATCATTTATTGTAATATGAAAATTTAACCGCTGATAAATTGGGACATGTGATTCACATCGGTCGTCATTCTCATTACTTTTCGCAATGAGAATAATTGCAAACAATTAATTAAAAAAAGGAATATTCTCGAATTTTGGCTTGTCGAAAAAAGAGCGGGGCGCGGGTTCTCCCGAGGGTGCAGGCAATTACCCATCAATTATAACGTGGGAATTCTGGTCGAGTCGAGTGTAGGCGGTTGTTTGATGTTACTTGGGATGTCTCGAGGCAGGTGGTCCCCACGAATGGTATACACAAGTAGGTCCCCAGAAAGGGCCCACTTGGCGTTGGTACGTCGAACCGTTGAGAAGACTCGTTTTCTTGCTCATCCGATACCCGTGGTTTAACCGGTCGAAGCCCGTTCTCTTCCAATCCCTTTCGCTTCATTATACACCCCAAGAGGGCAACCAAGATATACTCCCGGTTTTTGACATTATTCGAGAATATTCTCTCACAATCATTATTACGTGAAGTGCAAGAAATCGTTATTTGATTTTAATTCAACTGAATTTCAGTTTCGTTGTGATTTACGTTTTTTTTTCACGGGCTTTTAGTGGGATCTTAATGGATAATTTCACAGGGAATAATTTGATGATGTTGAGTATCGATGGGAATTTAATTTATGGAACTGACTTTTCAAGTTGGAAATGTCAGCTGTCTCCTCCGCAAAAATATGTTTAGTGACGAGATTCAACGATTACCTCATGTTTTGAATTTTTTAACTGAGGAGTTCAATATTTCTCAGTTTCTCAATCATCTTCACAGCCACTGCGATCCAAAAACATCGTCAAGTCCACGAAATTCTCCACGAAAAATTCCTCTTCATCTTCTCTCCCTAAAGCTCCTCGTTTACAAGATAATTCGACGATTAAGTCGATTAAAATACTAAATAAAAAACATGAAATCCTTCTCTATCCTATCGAAAAACTCTATCAGACGGTTTTTGTAGACAAGAGATTCCCTACACTGCGAGACAAACGACAAAGTTCTCAAACAAGTCTTACTTGTGCCAAGAAAATAGTCTTTTGAAAATTATCAAAAAAGGATTTTTTTGTGCCAAACATGCAGAGAGTGCGCCGGAATGAAAAACTTTTCTCGCAAAAATAGATTTAGTAGTTTAAAAAAAATTGCATTCTCTGTATTCGCAAGAAATGCCATTTTTAGCACTACTCCTTCGTTATTTGATACTCTCATACGTATTTTGCTCCGGAAAAATCTTTGTTTTATGCGGAACAAGGGATAGTAGTTTTTCGTTTCGGCTGTCTAATAATCACAGACAAGAAATGAACCCTTTAATGAAACAACAATAATGATGATAGCAATCTTGTAACTTAGCGATAAAATATTTGTTGATAAATTTTCCTCTATATGAGATATTTTCATCCTGAAAAGGCTCCGTCTGGTGTCAAAAAAAAAACTTAAAATTCCCCCTGAATAATTTCCCTGAACCCCCCCCCCCCCCAAAACTCTCTCTGAATGATTCCCCTGAACCCCCCTCCCAAAACTTTCAAAATTCCCCCTGAATAATTTCCCTGAACCCCCTCCCCAAAACTCTCCCTGAATAATTCCCCTGAACCCCCTCCCAAAACTCTCTCAAAATTCCCCCTGAATAATTCCCCTGAACCCCCTTCCCAAAACTCAAAATTCCCCCTGAATAATTCCCCTGAACCCCCTTCCCAAAACTCAAAATTCCCCCTGAATAATTCCCCTGAACCCCCTTCCCAAAACTCAAAATTCCCCCTGAATAATTCCCCTGAACCCCCTTCCCAAAACTCAAAATTCCCCCTGAATAATTCCCCTGAACCCCCTTCCCAAAACTCAAAATTCCCCCTGAATAATTCCCCTGAACCCCCTTCCCAAAACTCAAAATTCCCCCTGAATAATTCCCCTGAACCCCCCTCCCAAAACTCAAAATTTCCTCTGAATAATGCCCCTGACCTCCCCCCAAACTTTCTCGAAATTCCCCCTGAATAATTCCCTGAACCCCCCCGCCCCCCAAAAAAACCCTCTCAAAAATACCTGAGTGCACCCCAGCATCTCCGTCCTCCTCGAACACCTCCTCGTCGCCCTCGTCCCACCTGACCACCTCGGCGAGTCCCTCGGTGTCCCCCTTCCCCCTGCAGACCTCCCCGGGACTCCCCGCACTGGCGTGTCTTTTCCCAAGGGCACTGACACTCCTGGAAACCTTAGTACTGTGAGTCCTCCTGATGAGCAGATTCCCAAGCACAGTACCACTGACACTGTTCACACACTCCTGACTCCCGACATTGCTCTTCGGCCTGAAGTTGCTCCGCGCGAATTTGATCCTCTCCTCGTCCCTCCGGCCATCCCCCACCCCCAGCCGGGGCCTGGGCCCCTCCGCGGGGCCGCTCAGCCGCTCCTTCTTCCCCGAAATCGCCTCCTTCTTCCCCGAAGTCACGTCCTTCCTTCCGAATTTGCTCTGGAACCTCTCGATCGTCTTGAAGGACCGCGTCCTCTCCACCTTCTTCCGCGGGGAGGGGTCCAGTACCTCCGGCGACTCGAACATCTTCGTCAGGGAATGAACCTTCCCCCGCGTCTCAACGTGGTGAAGTGACTTCATTTCAAGCTCCAATTTGTCGCTGGAACTGAAGGTTCGGTTCAGGGGAATTGGGTGGGGGTTCTTCGGGGTTATTATCGGAAATGTGTTGCATGAGTATTTCTCCGGGTCCTGGGGCTTCCCGATGCGGGACGGGGGCTGAGAGTCCAGGGAGACGTAGAACGTTGATCTACGCTTTGGAGAATCCTCCAGTGGCTCATTCCCATTCATCTTTACACGTTTTTTTACGTTTCACGGATTTTCCTGGGGGTTGACATTATTTCTGGGGACGCGAGGGTACTGGGGGGGGGGGGGGAGGAGGT